GAATCCCTCTACTCAGAGACAGGTGGACTCTCAGAGGTGATCTGAAGGGGGATCCTCAAAGCCTGCATGTTTGGGGGTATCTTTCCTTTCCTGGTCTTATTCTCTCACACTGGGTGATTAGGCCCTAATTATTTGAACAAGAGTAGGTTCATAACTTATCAAGAGTAAATTATGAATATTTACTACTTACAACAACTAATTTGCTTTATAAACTTGATTTTTCAGTACAAAAACTAAATAATCGCTAATAAAAATTAGCAATGGTCAGCTAATAGTTCATTTAGAAATGAGCTGCAGCCAAGGGCTGCCATGAGGATGTTTGTCCCATTCACTCTGTAACTGCAGGAGGCTGCTGTTGGTCTTTTTCAAACTTTCTGGCTTTCTCAATTTCAGAAAGTACGGCCTGCTGAACCAAACCTTCTGTAGATTTGGGACATTCTGAACGGGACTTTCTGGTCTAAAGGCAAGGCTATCAGGTAGCTCAGCCAAAGTTGGAAGTGCCCTGAAAACAGCCTTGCTGGCCATGTGTGGGCCATAGCAATTGCCATGCCTGGGAGTTCATCACCCCGAGGCCACACGGTGGGGTGTGGGTGGACTCAGAGCAGAGTGACGTGTACAGCCTCGTGAGGCTACAGAGAACTTAGTTCTGGAAGACTCTGGACTAATGGTTGGCTAGATTGGTAGCAGATTATTGTGGCAAATCAGGGAAGTTCTGAGCACATCTCTGGCCTTTCAGGATGGCGTCGGAGAAAGCAAGTCCTGGACTCTCCCTTGCCCTTCTCCCTCAGGACGAACTGTGGTTGGAGTTCTGAGCCTGTTGTCCTTGGTCTGATCTGTGTTGATATTTCTGGCCTTCTTAAGAATAGGGTACTGTAAAACATCATGCTAGGAAACTCAGCGGAGCAGGTGAGCCATCTCAATCCCAAGAGGTAGTCTACCAGCCCTACAAGAAAACCACAACAAGCACAACTCCACCTGCTAAATACGTCAGCCCTCCATGTCCACAGATTCAGCATCCATGGATTCAACCAGTCTCAGATTGGAAATACTCAGGGGGACAAACATGTGTCTGTATTGGGCTTGTGTAGACTTTCTCTTGGTCATGATTCCCTAAACAGTACAGTATGAACACTATTTACATGGTATTGGAGACCATAAGGAATCTAAAGAGATGATGTAAATGGGAGCATGTAATGCAGGCATAATGCAATCCCCTGCCATTCTACATAACAGACGAGTATCTGCACAGGATCCCAAACCAATCTCTTAAAGACACCAAGGAACGACTACAGACTTTTGGTGAAAATTATGCCATTATGATGGTGTCCATAGTGGCAATGACCACACAGAACTCCTCTGTCCCAATTAGATAGGGTGGGGCAATTCCATCATAGTGATCAATTTGCAAATTAGCAATTCAGAGTTGCTAGCGGGACAGAAAGCACAGGACAGTTTGTTCAGATTCTGGGTGAGGCTCAGGTTCAGAGCACAAGCGTACCCATTGTCCTCCTCCCTCCTCATTTCTTCCTCTTCTCCCTCTCTCCATCCTCCTCTCCATTCTTCTTTCTTCTTGTTGCCTAGCTGTCTCTTTGAAGCCGTCTTCCTGGGACCTGGATAACCCTGCTGGGACATGCTGCATTTTGACAAAAGGAAAGTATATGTCAGTGAGGCCTGGGGCCACCCCCTTTCCTCCCAGCTCTCACTGGGGCACAACCCACAGCCTGGTATCAGTAAACACAGCTGAGGTTGCAGAAACACTGCAGTGATGGGAAAGAAGACAGGGGGCTTTTGGGTCTCTTGTTTTCCTGTCCGTTGGAGTCATCATTCTTAACCAAGGTTTGGGGCCAAGCACTGGGGCCCTGATTCAGTGATGGAAACCCCAGCTTCAAGGCTAGGTTGGTGCAATACAGGGCAGCATTGCAGACAGGAAGTGGTGTGGCTGTGTGGGTGTGAAGGAAGGGTTTCCTCCCTCTGTGACACTTTCTATGGTGAAGGGACCTTTCTCAGCCATCCTCAACATCCCCCCTGCCAACTGCTACTGCTGCCCTGCCCCACGCCCCACCTTGTCCACCCTTCGCCAACAGGCAAGTGCCAGGAGACAATGACCAACTACAATTTGAATGCAACCAGCAAATCAGATCCTCAACCAACCTGTCTACGTCCCTCTTCTTTCGTTCCTCCTGGAACATTGTCGGTCTCTCAGAATTTTTCCTTTTTCTTTTTTTTTTAAAGATTTATTTTTATTATTTTTTCATTGGAAAGGCGGATATACAGAGAGGAGAGACAGAGAGGAAGATCTTCCGTCCGATGATTCACTCCCCAAGTGAGCGCAACGGGCCGATACTATGCCGATCCGAAGCCAGGAGCCTCTTCCGGGTCTCCCACGCGGGTGCAGGTTCCCAAAGCTTTGGGCTGTCCTCGACTGCTTTCCCAGGCCACAAGCAGGGAGCTGGAAGGGAAGCGGGGCTGCCGGGATTAGAACCGGCGCCCATATGGGATCCCGGGGGTGCAAGGCGAGGACCTTTAACCACTTGCGCCACCGCGCCGGGCCCGAATTTTTCCTTTTTCAGAGCAGAAATAACACAGGAGACATTCGGTATTCAGAATTCTTATCTGGTCTCTAATTATTCAGGGAGGGACTTGACCCTCCCCACCCCCCATCCTGAACTACCCTGGACTACTCTGGTTCAGGTACCCTGCCTCCAAATGTACTGTTTTGACCAAAGTGGAAGCAAGCTTCATCCTCCCTAAATTGAAACTCAACCTTAACACCTACACAGCCGCTAGGGAGGCAGTCCCTGGGCTGAGCAGCTAATTTAAATACAAAGGAATAACAGATGAAGCAATTCGTATTTTGGAGCTGAAGTTGGCTGGATCTAGGGACATCCAGGAGGCAACTGGTGGAATTTACCCATTGTCCCAGGGACACAGAGATCAGGATATGTTAACAGGTGAGTGGGAGAACTCTTAAGAAATAGGTCAGAACAGGTTGAGAAGTATGCTTGAAGGAAAGATGTCAAGACCATGAGAACAACTTGGGACATGTTGGGTGGGGCAGACTCTAACATACTCTGTTCTAAGACACCCACTAGGCACCTAGCTGTCCAGGTCTGTCCTCAAGAGAGACAGAGCTGAGTTGTGGAAGCAGATGTGGGAGTTAGCGTCGGGAGAGAGTGACTGAGGTTCTCAGAAGAGGAGTCACTTTACAGGAGAAGCAGGAAGAGAGATAAATACAGTTACCAATGCTATACACTGTTGGAAGTAAAGCAAGAGAAAGCCTGAACCATGCCCATTAGACTTAGAAAGTGGAGCCAACAGGTGTTTGCCAATGGGCACTTTTTGGGACATAGCAGGAGCAAAAGCTAGGTCTTGGTGGAGACCGACAGATATTCACCAAGACCAGAGCCTCTTCCCCCTCAACAGCTGGCTGAATGTCATTGGTCGAGCTTAGTAGATGGGGAGGCTGTGACTGAATTCCAGCGAATAGACATAGGGGTGGGGTGATGCACCTGTCACCTCCAGCATACAGCTTCTCACTTCACTCTCCAAGTACCTCTCTTTCCTAGCCTGCCAGCCAGTGTAGGTGAGGTACAGAGAATGACTGGACTTTGGGCAGCACAGCAAAAACAGAAGGAGCCTGGCCCATGGAGCATTATGTGGGACTAGGGGACTCTGTGAGGTCAAACTAAAAAGTTATGAGGAATATCAGACCAATGGAGCCAGCAGGCATCCTGGGGTTTGCAGTGGAATTGGGGAATGGCCAGCAGTGACAGTAGGAGGGTCAGCAGACAGGGCAGTTGTGTTTCAGAAGTCAGGCTGGCTGGAGTGGTCCCCAAGCCTGGAGACATGAAGCTCTGTAGGAGCAGCTTCTGATGCTCCCTGCAAGGCCAGAAAGTGCTGGAGTTCTAAACACCTGTAGGTGTAAGTGGCACACTATGTATGTTCATCCTAACAGCCACACAGACCCCTGGCACCCCGGCTGGGTCCACCCTTTGCAGATGTGCTGCTCATCTGGCCAGTGCAGCCCTGGTTCCGGCAAGCTTGTCTTGACAGGAGGGTAAGCTGCAACACACAGCAGCTGAGCAGGACCCTGTCCCAACTCAGCTCCTGTGGCGGTGCTGCAGCCCAACTCTGTGAACTCAGCAGCTCTCCGAGTCAGACCACCTGACTTCTCCAGCCTGGTTCTGCTCCTAACCTGTGGGTAACCTTGAGGGAACCCCTTCCCATGCAGCACCTGAGGCCAGCACCATGGCTCAACTAATCCACCTTGCGGCATCAGAACCCCTGTCTGCAAAGGGGTCAACCCAACCATTTCTCTTTCTCATACTTAAAAAAAAAAAAAAAACAGAAACGTTTATCAAATAGCTACATTTAAGAAGTCTTGGCTTAGCGCTGTTGCTGCCCCCTCACTGCAGCTGCACCTGCTTCTCCTCAAACCAGCCACACTCGCAAGGCACTATTCCCTTCCCACTTCTCATCCTGTTTAAGAAGGTTGTCTCCACCCTCCACAGCCTCTTTTTGCTCCAGCAAAAGAGACTTGGAGGAGAGTGTGGTATGCCTCCCCAAAGCATATCCCTGGCTGGGGTTGCCTTTACCTGGGCTTGGTTCTGCCTTCCCTGGGAAAGACATACTTCCTCTTCTCACGTACACAAACACTTGCTGGTTTAATGAAGGGTATAGCTTTCGCTTGTCTGTAGCTCTCTGAGCCACATAAGGAATGGGAATGGCCCTGACAGAGAGCACCTAGGGGAACCAGGACCTTCTCAGAGCAGCATATGACCAACAGGAGTGGGGCCCATCTGGCATCGCACGCACTATTGTGTCAAACACTGGTAAAGACCCAGGATCAACACAGATGCCCCCTTGGCCTATACGCATGCACACTGCCTTCCCCATCAGCCCAGGAGCCCCACAGCAACTCAACAGACAGGACCAGTGCACCTTTCAATTTCAAAGAACTTGGGAAACAAAGAGGCAAGAACCATGTTTATTCTGCAAATTCCAGAGGAAAGGATTCTGCATGATGGCAGAACCCAGTAGCTGCCAAAGGGGATGATGGGAAGTGACTGCTGTGGGCAGTCTTTTGCAGTGTCTCCTCCCAGGGCTGAGTCAGGTTCCTAGGAGTATGTCCTGAGCGGGGCTGCAGACAGACTGCAACGCACCTGGTCCACCCTCTGGTCCCCCACATGCAGATGCGGCCAGATGTGCTTCCTCTGGGGGAAGAAGAGGCCCCAGCCTCGGTCTTGGGCCTTCAGGGTGGCAGGCAGCCAGCCACAGCGTCAGGCCGGGGCATGGGCACAAAGTTCACGGGGCACAGCAGCAGTGGGCACATCTTCTCGTGCGCCTTCAGCGCCTCGCTCAGGTGCCTCAGCTCCTCGGTCAGCTTCCCGATCTCCCGCCGCAGCAGGGCATTCTCCTGCTCCAGGCACTCGTATTCCTGGGGGACACAGAGAGCGGGCAGACGGATTCAGGAACCACATCCTCCGGGCAGCACTCCAACCAACAGGGCAAGATCACCTCCTGCAGGGGGCGACTGAGGTGGGGGGACTGCCCATAACTGGGGTCCTCCCCCACCCCTCCCGCGTCTCCCAGGATAAACAGATCCTGGGAACTTGACTTTGTTTTTTGAATCAACTTTATCGAGGGCCAACATACATAAAATTGAGTGTGTATAGTTTGAGTGTACAGTGAGTTTTGACTAATGTGTACCCCTGTGTTGCTCCACACCAAGGCCATTTCCCTGACAATGTAAAGTTTCCTCACACCCCTTTCACTTTCTGAAGGTCTTTGCTGCTGTTCATGGCTACACCCCAAGCACCCAGGATGGTCAATGGAATATAATAAATCTTAGAGAATTGCTCAGATGAGTGAATGCAAACACCTATTGCTGTGGGTTTTGCTCCAGCATTCATCTGGTAAATTTCAACACCACCCAGGCTTACAGAGGTATCAGGGAGGCCCCTTAGCTCAACCCACACAGAGACCGTTCTGTATGTAATTCCTGCTCAGACATCCAACTTGCACTGAGGATGCCCACCTTCACAAAATGGAGCTACCCATTTCTGAGCCACTCCATCAGAAATTGCCTCTTGGTACAGACCTCAAATCCTGCAAACCCACCTATTGCATTTAGTGCTGGAGAACATTCAGGAGTGGAGAGCATCCAGCCTGTGGCCCATTCAGGGCCCGCAAAATTACCTGGTCTGGCCCTGCCAAGGCAACCTCAGGTAGTATGCAAAAATCCAATAAAACTATAGTGGGCTAATTTTGAAACTAATCATTTCATGTGGCCCATGAATGATGTTACAATTATCCAAATAGCCCTTGGCAGACACAAGACCCCTTGTATGAGTACAGCTGATACCTTTTCCCATATCACAGTTCTTCAAACGTAAGGAGACAGCCCCACACCACTTCCCCTTAGATGTTCTCCTGAGCCCAACATTGCGGAGCCTTGGTGCCCCTTGGGTCAGGACAGCTAGTCTCTCCCTCGGCCCCCAGGGGACCCAGCCCTTATGCTCCAAGCTGCAAGAATCTCTGAGCAAATGTCACTCCCAGAATGCAATGTGCAATTCTGGGCACCATGCAGAAAAGTGTGTGCCTGTGGGCGCCCCTTGCCAGACCCAAGCCCTTGGGCATCCACCTTGAGCTTATACAGGACAAGCTTCCTCTACACAGCTGTAACAGTCCTTGGACGGTGATGGGTGCTCTGGAGCCCAAGGACAGGCCTTGACACCTGTTCCCCACTGTACTTCACTCTGGTCCTTTGGGCATCTTCTGGAGGAGCAAAACTTTAAACCTTTAACTGCACCATGCATGGATGTGTGAGCTCCCAGTTTTAAGTTGTCTACTCCGTCTTCATCCCAGATGTTACTAAGTTTTGTGACACACAGCCAGATGCCGCATCCTGCCAGTAGAGACCTTCTCTGGGCTGAAGTCTTTTCCTTTCCTTCCAGGTGGATTCACACAGCCAGGCGTGGCTGTCCCATCCACAGTATGCATTTCCTGACATAGGGCCCCAGCATGCTACATGCAGAATTCCTCTGAACCATCCTTTGCCTCTTCCCCACGGCAGGGCAGGCTCCTTTCAGGGGAGGAGGGGTACCAGGAGCCAAGTCTGAGGCAGCAGGCTGTGCTGCATCAGTGTGCCTTTACAATGCACTGGGCCACTTCTGCCTTCAGCCCACCTCCTGGCTGCCCACACCCAACTCCTGGTGCTCCCTGTGGCCTCCGATGAGCACTAGTCCAGGGGTTGGAGTTTGGTTTACAAACCCAGCAACAAGCTCTCCCTGGGCAAAGAGGAGGGTCTGGGAGGGAGGGTGGAGCTGGAGGTTGTGACGGCAAGGCTGGAGGGACTGTAGTGTGTGCATTACACACACACGTAAACACACACTCTGTGCATGTCAATGCCCTTCACCTCCAAGCAGACAACACACGAGTGATGCCAAAAAGGTAATGGTGAGCCAAACTACAGAGCACTGGAAGCTCGTTATGTGGGCAGAACATCCCCAACAGACTTTCTGCATTTGGGGTTTGGGGATCTCTGCATGGCTGAGCTCCAACTCTGGCAACCACAAGGATCCCTAGGACCTAAGTGTCCATCATGCTCCCCACACCCCTACTAGGTCAATCTCCAGAGCCACTCCTCACAGGCCGCCCAGCTATGCCCACATCTGCCCTCTCCTCCTGGACTTTCTCCTGCAATCTAAGCCACACTCACACACATCCAGAGGGACTCTGCCCAAGCAGACAGAGGACAAGGGCATACCCTGCAGGGGAGACCTTCTCTTCGGAAACAAAAGGAGGCATTGGAAAGGGAGGAGGGAAGGGCCCCGAGGACCCCAGAGGGTGGAGGTACAGGGGACAGAAGGTGACGCCACTTCTCACTGGGAAGAAATGACTGGATCTCAGGCAAAAATTCACAAGCAACAGACAGGAAGTGCACTGTTCCCAAGAGGCGAGGAGTCCAGCGCCAGTGCTCTCCAGTTTTGAGTTCTTGGCTGCAGCTGGGACTGAGGCCCCTGACCCGCCCCAACACCCAGGGAATCCAACAAGTCATGGTTGCAAAGCCAAGACCAAATCATCAATGATGGTAAAATCACTGCAGATCCCATTTCCGCCTCAGAAATTCAGCTGCCTGAGACAGAAGCTCTCAACTGGGGGCATTTTGGCAGTCCCCAGAAGAGAACACAGGAGGACACAAGGCAGCATCTAGAGACAGCCAGGAAAAGAGGTTTTAGTGCACCTGGGGTGTCAAAAAAGACAGTGACCCCATGTCAGTAGCATTGAAGATGAGAAGCTCTTTTCAGGACAAGGAGAGGCTGATGGGGGAACACAGGTGGAATAGGGAAGTTGTCTTGAGGCAATCGGGATGCAGCGTAACTCTGGGGTGGGAGACTTTGCCCTATAGGTACAGAAGCTGTGTGGGTATCAGAGAACCAATACGATAACTGAGTGGGGGACAAGGGGGAGAAAGGCCACTGGAGGAATGAATACACACACACACACACACACACACATACACACCCCAGATATATCCCACTGGGCAAGCTGCAAAGCTGTAGTTCTGAGGGGTGCAATGACTTCTAGGGTCACTCAGCCATGGGCTCCAACCCCCGACTTCAAGGTCAACAGTCAAGCAGCTTCACAATTCTGCTTTCTATTGGCCAGGTCTGGACCCAAATTTCCCCTTGGTGGTTACCAGAAGCCAGGGGCTGCCGGCGCTCAGGGTTTCCCAGCCAGCCTATTCCCAAGCCTCACGCTGAGGCACTTCCCAGCAGAAAGACTGTGTCACCAGCAAGGACTGTACCCATCACCGTCACAGTCAGTTTCCAAACCCAGGAGGGGACAGCCTGAAGTGTCCTCCGTGCAGGCTCTGAGAACGTGCTGGCAATGCACACCACAATTACGTTGCCCGAGTCATCTGCTGGCTTTGTGACATTCAGGGCTCTTGGAGATGGCACCGTGGCCTTCCGTTTCTGACTCACTTCTTTCTCAGTTCTTTCTTTGGGTGTCTGGCAGACACAGGCTGACCCACTTCTGGGCCACCTTTCAGCTGGTCTTAGAGACCCTAACTGTTCACTCGGGTTGCTAACTGGGGCTCTTAGGCAAGCACCCACCATCCAGCAAGGAAGAGAAAGATAGGATCAGTGCGGGGATGACTTGAAAACCCACAGTGCAGGTTAGCAAGTGCTCTCCCCGCTGCAGCAGCGGCACCCTCACTGAGGGCTGAGCGTGGCCACTGCCCTCTGCCCTCTGTGCGGCCTGTGCAGGCCGCTTCCTGATTGCCCCTCCACAGAGCTCCTGCCTTGGTGCCCAGTCCTCAGGACCTGGAGAAAGGGAACTGAGAGGGCAGCGTGGTGACCGAGGGACTCACAAGAGTGGCAGCATAAGGAGATTTTTCTCTGGGTGCTGGAGGTAACATGGGCATGAGAGTGAGGTGAGTGACAGGTCAAGGGGGTGGGGGACGGGCACCTGAAGCACATCTTGTCTTCAGTGTTCTATTTTCTGCTGTCCTAGACAGGCAAGTAAAGAGCCTGGCTACTCCGTGGTGATCTGTGAACATCCCTTAGCACAGGACAGAGGGATGCATGGTTAAAGCCCTTTGCACAGGCTGCTGCAGCAGGCAGAGGTGGGCACCAGCTGTTTCCCAGACCCCTTGGCTGGGGAGGCCAAGGCACTGCCCTCATCCTGGCTTCAGGGGAAGGTCTCCATGCCTGGTGTCCAACTTTTTACTTTCCCTATCCTCAACATGGCCCGGGTGCTCCAGGGTTCCCAGGGGACTTTGGGCCATGCCCTTCAGCAGCTGGCCAAATTTGACTCAGCCCACTGAGGACGAGTCAAAGTCTTCTTTCTATCATCTCTGAGCCAGACACCCACCTAAAATGTGCATCTTTAATCACATGATGCCATATCACTCCATGAATGGCCATGCAGAACACAGGTGCCCACATCAATGACCGCTTCCCAGGAGAAGGCTGGGGTGGGTGGTGGGGCAACATATCCGGCATGCCTGTCACCCCAGAGATGGCATCCTTCTGCTCTGCATAAGGTTTGGGGTGTCCTTCCTTGGTCCTACATCAGCTGTTTGCTCCCTCAGATTCTCTTGTGACCAGTGACATCTATGGGTAGCTAGTGAGAGCAAGGTAGGAACAACAGTTTGAGGGTCTGACGCAGATGGGGCCCCTGTCTGGTCCTGCTTGATGCTGCTTCTCAACCACACTTGGCCTTGCGTAATTCTAACTCAGTCCTGGCCAGCCCAAGAGGAACAGGAGGAGGCAGTGTTCTACCTTGGGTAGTCTATGGTCCAGATGGCTCTACTCCTTTCTAGAAAGATCAGTGGGTGTTACTCTCATGCAACATGGCCAAGGGGCAGGAGAAGAGTCTAAGAACCCTCCAAAAGGGCCCTCCACCCTACACTCCTAGGAGGGATCTGGCAAGAGTGTATACAGCACCACCCCTAAGTTTCTAGATATCTGGTGGGTCATTGGGTTATACAATCTGATGATGATGAAAGGTGAGCAAGACCCAGAACTTCATCTCAGAATCTTTTCTGACAGTTTAGTAAGGTTCTGTGGGTATTTGTATTATCTCCTCTAGTAGGCACAGTAATGGCCCTTTGAAAGTCTCTACATCCTAACTTGGAACCTGGGGACACTCAGGTATTACCTTCACCACCTGAAGATGTGAAAGCATGAAGCAGCATCCAATGGAAACATAACCCTGGACTGTTTTGGGCAGGCCCTGGAACCACTAGGGACTTTAGAAGTCAAAGAATGATCTGAGAGTCAAAGAAGACATGATGATGAGAATGGAGTCAGGGAAATGCAGCAGGAGAAAGACCAGGCCGGTCACTACCAACTTTGAAGTTGGAAAGGGACCATCAGCCTAGCAACATGGAAGGCTCCAGAAAGTGGAAAAGACAGGGAGTGGGGTCCTCTCCAGAGGTTCCAGAGGGGACACAGTCCTACCAGCCTGCTGAGTTCAGGCCCCCGAGACCACTACAGCTGTCTCATTGCCAAAATGTAAGGTGGCAAATGGGAGTCGCTTGAAGCGCCCACCTTTGTGAGAGTCTGTTACAGCAGCAGCTAGGAACCTGACACTCAGTCCTTGGGAATCCCATGCTTTGCAAGGACAGGGACACAACAACCCTGCCCACAGTAACACGTCATCACGATTTATGGAATAGACCTACCTGATCTTGTCCTAGAAGTGACCTTGGTCACTTCTTCCACATAACCGCTCAGAACTGATGCTGCACAGGCTTGGACTACAAGCTTCTTCTGGGCACTCACAGATTGAACACAGGAATGCACAGCCTAGGAGCCCCAAGTCCCTTCCGGGGGTCATCTGGCAGCATGAAGCTGCAACCACAATTGCTTCAGGAGTCGGGAGATGGGGGATGGAATGGGGTGGGGAAGCAGCAATGGACACTACAGTTCTGTAGAAACATCCCGAACTGCTAAGGGCCTTCCTTGGCCCTGGCCTACAGCCTCTTTCCAGGGCCCAGCTTCCTTCCAGGAAAACAGCTGTTATTTATAGTAAATGCCATGCTGTGAATTTGTATTAGTGAGTCACCTCCCCCTGGAGCAAAGTAAGACAGGCAAACCTTGTCTTAATGCATCTCACAGATGATTTGCTTTCTACAGACTCAAGACTTATGGCAACTCTGCTTGGACCACGCCTATCAGTACTGGTTTTCTGTTGATCTGATAATCTGACAGTTTTTAGCAATAAAACATTTCTCTTTAGGCTATGGACATTGTTTTCTTACAGATGACGCCACTCACACTTGATAGACTACAGGACAGTGTAAGCACAGCTTTCATATGCACTGGAAAACCAAAAAGCCCACATGACTCCCTTTATTGCAACACTCACTTTGGGCCAGAGGGGAGAACTAGATCTAAAATATCTCAGAGGGGTTCTGCTTGCAGAGCATTCTAAACATGTTTTGAGTTCTCTGCTTGATTCTAGTTTCCAAAAGCTGCCCTTGCCACACTGTGCAGTCAGCACCCCGACCTGGCTTTGCTGAGACAAGCTACGGCCAGACAGTGTGGCAGCAGAGAGATAAACTGAAACCTTTCGCTATCTCCTGGAGAGCTCCTTGGGTGCTTTTGAGGCCAGGCCGGGATGCAGAGCCAGCCGCATGTCCTCACCGTGGGATGATGTGGGTTTGTGCATAAGGGCGGGAGAAAGCAGACTAGCTTAGGATACAATGCAGATTCTAGCTCTGAGCGATGAAAAAGATGGTTAGCTCCACTGGTGATGAAGCACACACAGTGTATAGAGGAAACCTGCGCTGTGAGAGTGGCGCCCCTCAGGAGGCTAGTACAGAGCCACGTGGAGCCACATCAAGGTGCCCGGTGGTGGGGCCCAGGACAGGGTCCTGCCTCGAGTCACTAGTGTAGAAGTGATGACAGAACAAGTTAGCAGTTGGAACCTCCAGGGTGAGAAGAAAAAGGGGCAGAGTTGGAATTTCTAGTCAACACTGCCATTTAAGGAAAACAGACAAGGCCACTGCTTTGGCATAGCAGGCAAAGCACTGCCAGCATCCCATGTGGGTGCCAGTTCTAGTCTCAGCTGCTCCACTTCCTGTTCAGCTCCCTGCCACCGTGCCTGGGAAAGCAGCCGAGGATGGCCCGAGTGCTGGGACCACTGTACCTCTCTTTCCTTCAACTCTCTGTCACTCTGCTTGTCAAATAAATACACCTTTGGAAAGAAAAAGAAATTCGCATATGCTAAACACCCAGCAGATGAGGAAGAAATGTAGGCAATTGTGAGTAAAGCATGGGAAAACACAGCAGCACCAGGCCAGTGCACCACCCTGCACAGGGGTGGACGTGGGGGGGGGGTGGCAGTGACCCTGCAAGGGCCCAGTGGGCTCCACCCCCGGGGCTCCCCGGAGCTCCACCCCCTATGCAGTCTCACCTCGTGGAGTTTGTCAGCCTTCTGGGTCTGCTTCTTCCGACTTCTCTGAGCAGCAACTCGGTTTTTCTCTCTCCTTCGTACCTTCCTGTCATCATCCTCAGGGCTCTGGGGGTGCGGGGAAGAGGGGAACATTCTGTGAGGGGTGCACTTGAGGGCCCTCACCCCGCGGCTCCCTGCTCTCCGCCTGCTCAGAGCTGCAGGGGGAGTGTCTGTTGCCGTAGCAGTGCCTGTGGCTGCCTCAGTGGGCTCCGGGTGGAGGAGCACTCCCTGGGGCCCTGTCCTCTCCGCTGAGCAATGTGGTGTGTGACCACTGCTTGAAAGATGAGGAATAAGAAACTCAGACAGGTTAGGGAACTTGCTGCAGGTAGAGTGAGTGAGTGGGAAGTGGAACTCAGGTCGGTTCGTCTCCAAACCATCGTTCGTAAACCTCCACCCCACAGGGCGTGTGCCTGGAAGAGCTGTGGTGTCAGAGCTGTCGCTGTGCAACCTGGACAGCCAGGGGCACAGCCATGTGGAGCTTGCTGCATGCAAGCAAGAGGTTCTGGCGCCAGTGGCTGCAAACCACGCTTGCCCTCAGAGCTAACTGCACACACAGAACGTTGCCTTCCCACCAGGTGCCCTGGCTCACCCTGGCAGTGTGCTCCTTTCAGTGATGCACAGCTGACATTTTGCCTCAGAGGTCAGAGGAAATCACAAAGCAAATCTATGATGTGGCTTGAAAGCTCTTGGCCACACATGACATTGAGCCGAACTTAGACAAATCCTTCAATGGGTACCATGAACCAGGTGGATAGAATAATGCACCTGCCACGCAAAAATGCTTCCTCCAGTTAGGCGAAATGTGGCTTTCCAGAACCCTGAGAGACCACGGTGGGGGGGGCGACAAAGACTTCTTCTGAAGAGTGTAAAAACTAAGAGATTAGTGGGGCTACACACACAGAGAAAGCTATTTAATTATTCATGGAAAGTAAACCACAGAGAATACTGGATATGCTAAGTTATTGCCTTATCTGATCTTATGTTCCAAATAAGGAAGACAGGTATCCTATGCCTGTAGGTAAAGAAGGGCCAGCATACTCGAAAGATAAAAAGGAGAAGAATAACTTACGCAACGACAGAAGTAGCGCAGGGTCAAGGCTTGCAGGAACAGACAGGTAGAACAATGGAATCTTCCAGAGATGCCAAGAAGCCCAGCTAAATACACCCAGCACACCCTCAGAGCCACGCGTGCTGTGCTCACCGGCCCCGTGGCTTCAGAATCACACACGTCCCAGCTTTCTCTTACTCTCACGTGGCCTTGAGTCAGGCACTGAAATTCTCCCAGTTTTCAGCTTCCTCGCCTACGTGTGTGATTCACTCATTCTCTCAGTGTGGACTACATGCTGTGTGGTGGCAACTGCGCAGCTAACAGCCACACACTGGGGGCTGCCCTCAGGTGCCTGGGTCCTGAAGCAACCCCCGTTACCCCACGTGCCCTACTGATTTGCCTTTATTGAGGTTGCTGTTTAATGGAATCCTCCACAGGGCTTTTCAATAAATCATGCCCCAGGGGAGCTGACCCCAGGACCTATCAACAAGGCAGGTCCCACCAAGGCAGACATACCTGACCAAGTAAAACAGGTGAGCACAGTTTTGAACTATTCACACATTACTAACCACAGCTCATTAGTCTTTGCAAAACTCCCAGGAATACGGTGTTAAAGACAAGGGTTTCACAAAAGGGGAAACCGAGGCTCGGAGAATAAATAAGTAATTACACATTTATCTATCAAATCGCCAAGGTTGTTCTGCCTGTGCAGCAAAGCCAGCCCCAGACTCGGATTTGAGGACCCTCTACCATCTCTGGAGACCACGGCGTGCCAGAACACCAAGGTGGGAGGGAGCGCAAGGAGGCGGCCCGGGCTCTTCCCCACAAACTGGGCTCGAAAATTCGGAGCGGCCATGCCTGCCTGCAAGCTGCTCCCAGTTGTCTGGGTGCACGACGATACATGCCCCTGGGGATCGCGCGGAAGAGTGACGGGAAGGCGGGGAGGGGTTCCACCAGCGCCGGGGGAGGAGTCTCCCCTCCCCCACCCGCAACCCGCCAGTGCCCCACACCCCGAGGCAGATCCGTACCGCGTTCCCCATTCCAGCGGCCGCCACAGGAGGGTGGGTATTGGGAGCTGCTGGGGACGAGCCGCCCTTTCGGGCTCGATGCCCTCTCCAAGAAGGGCCACACGCGCGGGCGGTGGCTGACGGCTCTCTCGGCCGCGGGGACCCCACGTGTCGGGGAGCGCGGGCTGCTCAGCCCCGACGGACGTCCGCGCCCTCCGGCCTCTCCCCTCCCAAGGGACGCGGAGCCCTCCCCGGAACGGCCGAGGAGCACACTAGGACCCCGGGACCATCGCGCCCTTGCCCCCAGAAGCCTCCCATCTCCGGCTCCGACAGCGCCCTCCACCCGCGCGCCCCGGCGGCCACGGCCCCGGCACCTCCCACCCCGGCACACACGCCCCCTAGGCCCTCCGGGAGCCTCTCGCCCACTACCTGCGGCTGCTGCTGGTGCCCCGGCGCCGCGACGCTCCTCTGCAGGACGCCGCCGGCGGCCGGGAGCCCCTGAGACATGCCGGGCGCTCGGCCCGCCGGTCCGCCCCAGCCCGCGGCGCCCTAGCCCGGGGGCTCGGCCTAGGCGCGCGCTCCGGCCGCCCGCATCGCCTCGCCCGCACCTGCTGTCGGCCTGCGCCCCGCCCCCGCGCGCTTCCCGCTCTCCTGGCGCCGCGCCTCCGCCGGGGCTCCCCGCCGCCCGCCCGGTCGCGGTCCGCCGTCCTTCCCGTCCCCAAGTCCGCCCCACCTCCTTCTCCCACCTCCGCCCCATTTCCTCCTCTCCCCGCCCTCTCTCCGCTGCGCCTCGGGGTCCCCAATCCCACCCCGGGCACGGCTTTCCGCTGGGGGCCCCCCCAAGTCGTGGGAGTCACGTGGTGGCCCGGAAACCCTGCAGGGACCGCGACGCCCACCCGCGAGAGGCAACGATGGGGTGGCTGGGGGTCGCGAGGCGCAGGCTTTAGGGAGCGGGGTGCTTCGGCCGCTGCTGGGTGGTGGTGGGGAACTAGGGTTAAGCAACGCAGGTGGGTGGTTTTGGGGTTGGCGGCTTTCGCCGGTCCCCAACACAACCTCTTCCTGCGCGTTGCCCACACCTCCCTGCCGACCCCCAGCCCAGGCGCGGGTGGGGCCTTGGGGGCTTTATCGTTCAGCCCTCGGGTCGCCCCTGTCGCTCGGTCCCCGCAGGAGCAGGGGAAAGGACAGAGGCCTCCGGTGCATCCGGAGCGCGGGCGTTCCCGGGCTTTTCTGCCTGCTACCTACAAGTGCCGGACATGATCCCAACAAATCAAAAGCCAGCGGCTGCCGGCCGGCGTGCTTCAGCGCCAAGAAGAGATAGGAACCACGACTGGGGTGGGCGGCTGCAAAGGTCACCAGAGCCTTCCCGTTGTGGTCGCTTTGGGTAGCAGGAGGCTGGGGCGCGAGCCCTTCGCATTCCCAGGCCAGAGCTAGTGGCTCTCGGCCAGGATTTATTACCCATCGTCAAAGTGTCCTGAGCATCTCACCTGTGGCTGTCAGGAAGAAAGGAGGGGAGACTGTGCAAGCAGGGTCGATGGCTAGCAGGGAAGAGTGCGCAGGGCAGAGGAGGTCAGGGCAGGGGCGGGGGTGTGAGGGTGGTGGAGAGAGAGGGAAGGGGCTGCGGGTGAGGAGTAGACTCTGCTCAGAGTACCACACACAGAGGTCACACGCTAGCCAGCACCGCATTCATGCAGGCACACCGGGGTGCTGGTACAGCACTGTGCGCTCAACAGGTGCTTGGCTGAGTGACTGCAATAGGGTCCACGGGGACTCCTCATTCCTGAACGATTAAAACAAGACAAGTAACCACTAAAGAGTGGTTGCAATGTTCAGAAAAGCCGCTCTCCTCCGTGTTGTTTATGCACGCAAAGGGCAGAATCAGGGCCCCGTGACGGGTCTTGGCACTTTTCTGTTCTTCCCTAAGCCATAGCACATTCTAAGTCCCTCGGGGCTGGAGTTCCCAGTATCTCCCCGGGAGCCTGGCACTCTGCCCCAGTTCTCCGGAACTCTGAGTGGGCACAGTGGGCTGCTGTATGTTTAGGCAGAGATTTCCTCAGACAGGAGAAGTCTCACTAACCAGTTAGAATTTAAGAGAGCGACAGGACATGTATTTTATGTGTATATCCTACATCAGAACGAACGGAGCAAGCAAATACCAATAAAAATCAAAGAGACAGAGCAGAACTAAATTCTTTTTTTAAAAAACGGTTTATTTATTTTTTATTGGAAAGTCAGATATACAGAGAGGATCAGAGATAGAGATCTTCATCTGCTGATTCACTCCAAAAGTGGCCACAAGGGTCGGAACCGAGCCAATCCAAAGCTAGGAGCCAGGAGCTTCCAGGTCTCCCACACGGATGCAGAGTCCCAAGGTTTTGGGCCGTCCTCGACTGCTTTCCCAGGCCACAAGCAGGGAGCTGGGTGGGAAGTGGGGCTGCCAGGATTAGAACTGGTGACCGTATGGGATCCTGGCACATGCAAAACAAAGACTGTAGCTACCATGCCGGGCCAGAACTAAATTCTTATTAAAGAACTTGGGGTTAAGACAAGGAAAACCTTTAGTAAGACTGTGAGTGGTAGAGGAAATGATGTGGATAACATCTGAATGATGGAAAAAGCCTAACTTGTTTTAGATGACAGCACAACCAGAAATCTAAAGCCTACAGATTGGGACAATACAGTGTGTCTGGCAAAGATTTAAAATCCCTGTAGTATGTGCATCTTATGAGATGGACTAGAGAAAAACAGAGACAGCCCTTCCCATGCAAGCATAAAGTGAACAGCTGCTGTGAACTGGGAGTCACAAAAAAATAATAAGGAAAACAGATATGGGGAAAGTACATTAAAATAAGAATCCTTTTAAAATATCTAATTAGCAAAATATCTTGCTGAAGTCAATAAACGTTTGTTAGAAGTCATTCTCTGGCATCACTGGAAAGCAATTTTATTGTAATTTCCAAGTAAGATAAAAGAGATAACTTTTGAATCCAGCTTTGCCAACTCTAGAACATCGTTCTAGGAAGGTCATAGAAAACACTGGAGAGAAAAATGGTATGAGCACTGAAAGTTCATAGCATTTAATGAGTGGAAAATCAGAGCCAGAGAGATGGCTTAACTGACTAGTCCTCCACCTGCAAGCACTGGCATCTCACATGGCCACGAGTTCTTGTCTTGGCTGTTTCACTTCTGATCCAACTCCCTGCTTATGGCCTAGTAAAGCAATGGAGGATGGTCCAAAGCCTTGGGACCCTGCAGCTGCATTGGAGACTCCAGAAGAGGTTCCTGGCTCCTGGCTTTGGATCACCTCAGCTCAGCTCCAGCTATGGTGGTCATTTAGAGAGTGGACCGATGGATGGAGGAGCTTTCTCACACTGGCTCTCCTTTCTATAAGTCTGCCTTTCTAATAAAAATACATAAATACTTTTTTTAAGATTTATTTTTATTATTTTTTTATTGGAAAGGCGAATATACAGAGAGGAGAGACAGAGAGGAAGATCTTCCGTCCGATGATTCACTCCCCAAGTGAGCACAACGGCCGATGCTATGCCGATCCGAAGCCAGGAGCCTCTTCCGGGTCTCCCACGCGGGTGCAGGGTCCCAAAGCTTTGGGCCGTCCTTGACTGCTCTCCCAGGCCACAGGCAGGGAGCTGGATGGGAAGCGGGGCCGCCTGGATAGAACCGGCACCCATATGGGATCCCGGGCGTGCAAGGCGAGGACCTTAACCACTTGCGCCACCACGCCAGGCCCGTAAATACATTTTTTAAAAGGTGTGAAAATCATATGCAATGTACATGTCCAATTGTAGTCGAGTAGTTAGCAAGATAGATTACCGGCACAAAATAAACTATTATGTCTCTTCAAAGTTACAGCATACAGACAGGTTTGCTGCATGCAGAATTTATTTGATATGAGATAGGGTGAGGGGAAAAGCAGGATGTAAAATGTACATGCATAGCTTGTTTGTTATAATGGAAGTCCATGAGAGAAGTTTGGAAGGAATTGCACCAAGGTGATAACTTCTCATATGGCAGTGAATTGCAAGCAATGCATTTTCCTGTTTTTAAAACTTTTATGAAAAACTTTAAATACATTAGCATCTTTAAGCATTGCACATTTGTAAGTAATATCAGTATATGTGTATCTTCCGCTTCCCTGTCGTCAAGCTCATTGGTCCCAGAATGCCAGACCTCTAACCAAAGTGAGTACTCTATCAACCATCCTTTTCTTTCTGTTAAAATTTTCTGGTTTGTTGGGCCTGGCGGCGTGGCCTAGTGGCTGGAGTCCTCGCCTTGAATGCACCGGGATCCCATGTGGGCGCCAATTCTAATCCCAGCAGCTCCACTTCTCATCCAGCTCCCTGCTTGTGGCCTGGGAAAGCAGTTGAGGATGGCCCAAAGCCTTGGGACCCTGCACCCGTGTGGGAGACCCAGAAGGAAGTTCCTGGCTCCTGGCTTCAAATCAGCACAGCTCTGGTTGTTGCGCTCAGTTGAGGAGTGAATCATCGGATGGAAGATCTTCCTCTCTGTCTCTTCTTCTCTCTGTATATCTGACTTTGTAATAAAAATAAATAAATCTTTAAAAAAATTTCCGGTGTGTTTTGTTCTCCTTAAGTCAGAAGGAGAAAGAAAAATGAAAATGAAGAAAAGACAAACAAGAACAAATATGTTCAGTGTTGTTTCTCCTTGTTGTGCCTGTGTGTGTTTTCCCCTTTGAACCAAGTACAGAAATGATCTGATTTGGCAATTTCCTGCGAATACCACAATGACCCTGGATTACATGTTTGGTGATGGGGAAGGAGGTGTGGGAGGCTTACAGTTCAATGATCCAATCCACTGGTGATTCATTAACTTCACCAGAATACAGTTCTTTACAAAAACAAATTGCTCAGATGTTAGAAAACCCCATCACTTGTTCATCTTTGCTTTTCTCTTGCAGGAAAACTGGCCTTTCAGGAACTGTACTCTCAGCAAGTGATCCTGCAGGACTGGCAGGGGTCAGAGCACATGGAAGTTGAAGATAGAGACCCCTGGATCTAAAGAAGCCAGCCCCGTGTCTGTCAGGAGCCCCTGAGCTCAGCAGAGGGTGACAGGAGACACACCTCACACAGCTCACTCACGTTCCAGAGGAGCGAGGTAGACAGCCACCAAAAGGTACCATGTTATATGGTCACGTGGTTTACAGAGACCTGCCAAGCACAGCCAGACCAAGCCACCCGCACCACCTCTAGCAGGTGCCTGCAGTTTAAGAGGGAAGGATGCATTGGATGCTTATACCCAAAGGGCAAATGTCAAATGTTCAGCTTCCACACTGCAACCGTGACAGAATGGTTTGGAGGAAATCTCCCAGCGACTTTGTTGGGGCATCGTCCTCTTGCTCCTTTATGTTGAACTGACTCTATCTCCTTGAAAAGAGCAGAGGAAAAATGAAAGGGGGAGGGAACTGAAGAAGAAGAAAAAAATGACAGAGGGGGGCATCAAAACAAGGGGCTCATGTTGGAATGCCAATAAGT